TGAAGCACAAGTATTAGCTCGAAAACACACGTGCACACACACACACACGACACTCAAAGTTTGGAAACATTATAATACCAAAAAAAAAACCATGGCCCTTGCCCAAGGATCACACGCAAATTTAAGAAGCATTCCATATTTAAAAAAAAAAAAAAAAGTGAAGTCTAAGCACTTATTAACCCTTCAAAGAAAATGGCACCAATGAATAATAACTGAAATTTAAACAATGGCTAAAGACATTTAAAAGACAAAATGAGCTGGGCGTGGTGGTGCATGCCTTTAATCCCAGCACTCTGGAGGCAGAGGCAGGTGGATCTCTGTGAGTTCGAGGCCAGCCTGGTCTCCATAGTGAATCCAAGACAGCTGGGGCTACAGGGAGACCCTGTCTCAAAAAGACCAAAAAAAAAAGTCAAAATGAAAGCTAGGGATGTAGCTCAGTTGGTAGAGTGCTTACCCAGCATGCATGAAGCCCTGACTTTGCTCCTCAGCACCACACAGACTGGGTGTAGTGCTGCATGCCTGTATGTAATTCCAGCACTCGGGAGATTGAGGTAGGAGGATCAGAAGTTCTAGGTCATCTTCACCTGTATACCAAGTTCAAGACCAGCCTGGGATACTTGTCTGAAAAAAAAAAAAAAATGTAAAATGATAGAACTCATAAAGTACTCAAATCTAAACTGTTATATGGTATGTTGATTGTATTAGTATCATGTAACAATACTCTGGACCATTCCAGAAAAATGAGCAATTGGGATAATTTCTCTAAAATACTTCAATTTACATACCCCTACTCAACCACCTGCCATAATATTTAACTGTGGGCTCCCAATAAATGCCTTGTGTACCTCTAAAGTGTCATATAAACCAATCCCATATCAAGACCTAGAAGAAAGTGCTTTTTATGATGCTATCACATTTAGAAGGTAGTCAAGTTGAATTAGAAAATATAACTAATAGCAACAAATGTCTGTTGGAGGAGCAACATATGAACCATAAAGAAAAGTATAAAACTGTAGCTTAAAATTGGAAATAATATCCCTAAATTAATTTTGTTTCTCTTGATGGCCACAAAAGTGAATCCACTTGCAGCTTTTGAGCACTGAAATACATGATGTTCTCTAGGGACTCCTTCATTACCCAGAAAATGTTTATCAACTTAAATTAGTAAGTTCGACCAATTAGTGTATGGAATGAAGTTCAAGCCCAATTACATGCTCAAACTGTGGATCCAATGCCTTAAGAGATTCTTTCTCTTCAGGATTGCAGAAAATACAAAACAATCAACAGCTAAGAAGGACTTAAAATAATTTTTTCCTCATTTCTATGTACCCCAAAGTAATTGCTTTCAGCTTCCAGCCTACACATTCAACACCACTCTCCATCTGATCCCCATTAAAGAATGCTATAGAATATCTGAGAACTTTAATCTCAAGTTTTAAGAATCTCAAATTGTGACAAAATTACAATGCAGCAAAAACATTTTTCTAAGTATGTTCTCAACCCCCATGGTGTTCCTACACTAATTTAGCTCCCTATTAAGTATAAACAATCAAGGAAATCAGAAAGTTCTCAGAACAGAAACAAGCTGCTTAAAAAAAAAAAAGTTGTTCATGTTTTTATATCAGTGCCTGATTTAAAAGCAAATTACCATCTGTAGTTTTTCCTTTGAAAACGCACGTGAGTGTGTGCATGCACACACACGATCTCAAAATCTTTTAAGTTTGGTTTCCTTTTTTGAGACAGGGTTTCCCTATAGTCCCAGCTGGCCTAGAACTTGCTATTGTAGACCAGGTTGGCCTCTATCTCACAGAGATCTGCCTGCATTTGACTCCTGAGTGCTGGAATTAAAGGTGTGCCACAGGGGCTGAAGAGATGGCTTAGCAGTAAAGAATACTGGCTGCTCTTGCAGAGGACCCAGGTTTAGTTCCCAACACCCACATGGCAGCTAACTGTCTTGAATCCAGTTCCAGGGGCTCTGACACCCTCTTCTGACCTCTAAGGGCACTACATGGCATGGGCACACTTAGATACTTGCAGGCAATACATTCATACATATAAAAATAAAAATAAGAGCTGGAAGAGATGGCGCAGCAGTTAAGAGCACTGACTGCTCTTGCAGAGGACCCACATTCGATTCCCAGCACCCACACGGCGGCTAACAACTGTCTGTAACTCCAGTTCTAAGGGGATCTGACACCTCTCTTTTGACCTCCACAGGTACTGCATGACACAGGTGCACTTACATACATGCAAAATAAAATATTTTTAAATTAAAATAAAAATTAAAAAAAAAAACACCAAAATATACCAGGTATGGTGGCATACACCTTTAATCCCAGAACTTTGGAGGCAGAGGCAGAGGCAGAGATAGGTGGATCTCTGTGAGTTTGAGGCCAGCATGGTCTACATAGGGAGTTCCAGGCCAGCTGGGGCTACAGAGAGGCCCTGTTTCAAAAAGACCAAAAAAAAAAAAAAAAAAAAAGGCTAAATGCCTAATCAACAGATTTTAATGGGAAAAAAAGTGGCTTCTTGCCTGCTGCTAACTCGACCCATGAATGATAGCTTGGCAGAGACAAGCTGTTCTGGAAGATTAGGAACTTCCAGTGGGGGTAAGCAGAACACATACACTCTCTGTAGCTGTGTCAGTAATAAAACTATTTCAATACCAAAACTTCACGACCTACAGATATGTTAACTCTAAAGCTATCTGAACACATACACACCTAAAATAGAAAGCAGCAGGAAGGATACTGCTTCTACATCCAAATCAACACAAGAACATGACCTGCCATTGCTCGTTTAGAGACCTGAAAATTTAGTAAGTTTTCTGAGATCTACCAACACAGTCAAGTTTCAAAATAGTGAAATTCTTTTTTTTTTTTTTTTTTTTTTCGGTCTTTTTGGGACAGGGTCTCCCTGTAGCCCCAGCTGTCCTGGAACTCACTATGTAGACTAGGCTGGCCTTGAGCTCACAGAGATCCACCTGCCTCTGCCTCCTGAGTGCTGGAGTTAAAGGCGTACGTCACCACGCCCATCCCAAAATAGTGAAATTCTAAAACACAAGTGGCATAACATTTCAACTCTACCAAGTTAGAAAAACACAAATGGAATAACAGAAAACACTTAAGAGTTGAGCTTTGTTCTAGGGACTTATTAACTATGAATATGAAAATTACACTGAAGAGACTGAGGCACCAACTAATGGCCCAACCTAACACAGACAGGAAGCAGCATCGCAGAGTTTAGCTCTATCCAGTTAAACTCTTAAATAGAGTAATAAGTGCTAACAGTGAACATTTTCTTTAAACCTGGTAACTTTTTTGGCTCCCATACAACACTAAAATGATGTCATGCATTGAGAAAAACATGGGCTTTAGGACTGAAAAGACCCAAATAGACCTCTGAATAACACCTAGGGCCCAGCTTCAGCATCTGTAAAACAATGGCATTTAAGATACTGTGAAGGTCAAAGAAAGTAATATGTCAAGTAAAATGAAGTCTACATGCCCCCCGTGGTGGTGCACACCTTTAGATCCGGCAATTGGAAGGCAGAGGCAGGAGCATTTATGGGACTTCAAGACCAGTTTGGTATACATAGCAAGTTCCAGCCAGGCAGGACTACTTGGTGAGATCCTGTCTCAAAACAAAAACAGTTTACAGTCTAAAAGTTTTACAAGTTGGATGTCAAAGTGTGTGTACCAGCAAGTACACACTCATTTTTAAGAGAACTGACCCTGGCTTTCCTCAAACTTTCAAAGGATACAAGAAATCTCTCCTAAAGGTTAAGAACAACTGAAATAGCCAGGTGTGGTAGCTTACCACCCAGCACTGGGACTCAGGAAGCAGGGGAAGAGGCAAGAGATCTCTGTGAGTTTGAGGCTAGCCTGGTTTACACAGAAAGTTTCAGGACAGCTAGCCAGGGCTACATAGTGAGACCTTGTCTTAAAAAAAAAAGAAAGAAAAGAAGGGCTAGAGAAATGGCTCAGCAGTTAAAAAGCATTGGCTGCTCTAGCAGAAGATTCAGGTTGCAATGCCAGCATCCACCTGGCAGCTAACAACTGACCCTAATTCCAGTTCCAGGGAATCTTATGCCCTCTTCTGACCTCTTAGGGCATTGCACAACATAACACTCAGGTATAAATTAATTAATTAATGAAAAAAACAAAAAAAATTAGACTACATGCAGGTACGAAAAGCAAAAACAGCAGAAGTTATCTTTCTCTTCTTGTTCTCACAGATTCTCCCTTGTCCCTTAAGGCTTCACAATAAATATCAACAGTTTCTCCCTATACTCCAGGCTTGGTGAGGAGTTACACATGCAAGCTTATGCACCAGTTTTCTAGTCATACTCTAACGAACGTCGCTGCGGCTGGGGAGATGGCTCAGTGAGTAAAGTGCTTGCGGACCAAGCAAGTGTACCAAAGTTGGGATTCCTCACTCACACTCACGCAGAAAAGAAAAAAAAAGGGGGGGAAGGCGGGGAGGCGGCGAGTGTCTGTTACCCGAGCGCTGTACATCGGAGACAGGATTGCTGGAGCTGACTGGCCAAGGCAATCTAAGCCAAAACGGCAAGCTCCGGGGTCAGGGACAGATGGTGTTGGAAGAAGAGTGTGGACAGCCATGGAGGAAGAAATCCAGCATCGACCTCCGGCTCCCACACTGGACGCACCTGCACACACGCGTGCGTACACACACACACACACACACACACACACACGAAAAAACATAAATAAAAGATTCTTTAGCGCTGCTCCGTTTCTCTTCACTGAGACAAGTTCCCACGAAGCCTCATCCAGCAGCCGGCGAGGCAAACTAAGCAGGGGCTGGGGACCTACGGGCCGGGCGGCAGAGCTCTGATGGCAATGCTGTTAGACTGAGGGTGCTAGGCTAAGTACCCGGTCGCCCGGTTCCCATCCTATCCCCGACCCCGCGCCGTCAGGACTCGTGCCGCGGGTTCGCCCGGCGCCGCCTCCGGCTACGGCGTTGAGGGGAAATGTTACCCGAATTGGGGCTGCAGCGCGGCTGGGTTCTCGCTCTGGGGTCCGACGGGGCGGCGGCATCCAGCTCAAAACCTGCCTTCCACCCGCCCCCCAAAAGTCCCCAGGCTCGCTCCTGCCGGCGCTGACAGCCAACTCCGGGCTCTTCCGTTTCCCAAACGGGCTTCCGCCTCCGGGTTGGCTCTTACCGGAAGTAGTCATGGATGACGTAAAAGTGTAGCGCTGTGGGTGATTCCGGAAGAAACTAGAGTGCGGCGTGAACATGGTGAGAGTGGGAGAGCGGATTTGTCAGAGCGCTTTGGGGGACCTGCTGGGGGCTCAGCGCTTGACCAGATCTCTTTTGTGCTCCCCTTGTGTTTCGTTGTTTTTTTCATTTCTGGTCTTGGCTTGTAAAGTGCTCCCAACTGTGTAAGACGAGGGTCTGATGTTTGGAGTATGGGCAAGAAAAATAACCGGGAAGGGGAGGAAGGAGGCCGGGGCGGGGGGGGGGGGGAACACCACTTTAAAAGATGCAATATATTTCCAACTCTTTTAACCCTGAAATTTCCGTTTCAAGGGGAAGCAAAAGAAAACAAGGAAGCATGCGACTATGAAGCGAATGCTTAGTCTCAGAGATGAGAGACTGTGAGTGTCCAGAATCAACTGCGTTCTTAAACTGCTCAGAGATACAGGAGTTACGTTGGGCTAAGTAGTGGAAGTTGTTATTGTAGCAGGCTAGTTTTTACAAAATGGAGTCGCTCTGAGAAAATGATCAGAACCAGGGCGGTCCCGTTTTGTTGAGGCTGACCTGTAGGTGCACTCTGTACTTTCCCGTCCTTACTTGTACCAAATGTACCCTATAAATTCCAGGAACTAGCTTAACCACGTTCCAGAGTGCTAACGGCTAAATTGCCCCATCTGCTTCTGTAACTTGCTTGCTTGCTCTACCTAGTTTGCTGGTCGGTCTGGCGAATTCTGATTGGCTGTTTAAATATGACTTAAGATCACCCCAAACTTGCCTATAAAAGCCATGCTCAAACCCTAGTAGGGGCTGCCTTCTGAGTACTGACCTGGAGTCTGGGGACAGCCCGGCTGTAATAAAGTTTGTTTTTTAATTTCCCATGTGGTGACTCCTGATTTGCAACCTGTAACATTTATTTTGACTTTGCTTTTTGTGACTTACATCTATATTGCACAGAGTAATAGTCCAGTCACAGCTGCTGAGCAATTTCACTTGGAAACGTGATGGGAATTAAATATCTCATGTCATTTTGTTCCATTGTTTTATGATGTATCTATCATATTGAAGCTGTTTTGTTCTTAACATCAAACCACTACATTCCTGACAGGGAGGAGGATGTCATTATTTAAAAACAGGTTAGGCGCTATGCTCGTCTTCAGCCTCCAGTTCCTGACACTCAAATTTAAAAGAAAGAATGGGAAAACTCCCTGTTTCAATTTATAAATTTTAAGAATCCAGAACATAAGAAGAAGAAACTAGAGTGATATCCCCTATTATAAAGAAGACCTAAACAGTTTCCCTGCATCAGTGAAGACTGATGCACTCATGAAATATGGACTGGTCTTCATATGTGCACTATGTTTTAGCCCTATATAAAGCATGTGGAGGAATTCTTTCCCCTCTACTGGGGATCTGAGTCTTCAGAAGATTAATATCACCCTCTTTGCCTACCTCTTGGTAATGGATTTTTTTATTATGTATGAGTACACATAATAGTGGATTTTATTATGATAGTTTTATGTATTTAATGTAATTTGGGCATAATCACCCACTATCACTCTCGGAATTAGATTTTAATCATTTATATGAGAAATACTGATGAAGAAAAAAATTATCAGGACTGGAGAGGTGGCTCAGGGGTTACGAGCACTGTCAGTTCTTCCAGAAGACCCGGGTTCATTTCCCAGCTCCCATGTGGCAGCTAACACCCATCCATAACTTCAATTCCAAGGAAATTTGGCTCCCTCTTCTGACCTCTACAGGCATTGCACAACATGGGTGCACTTACATACATGTAGGCAATACACTCATACATAGAATAAAAATAACAAAATATTCTTTAAGCGAAATTATCATCAAAATTTGCCTATTAATAGTTCTTTGGGTTATTGGCCTTACTGATTTTGTTCTTTCAGGTTACTTTCTGCTATAGTAAACTTACTGTGAAAGTATATGTTGATATTAATATCACAAAGTCACAAAATTGGATTTACTTTGTAAATTAAAAAGGGAAGAAAATTAGACGGTAATGGGGATTGAACTAGGGCTTTGTACATGCTAATTAGATGCTCTATCACTGAGCTATATCTCTGGCAAATTGAAACTTTCAAATGAGATGATACAATATTTTTTTTCTTCTTCTCTGAATTTACTTTTTTCCAGTAAAGAAAAAGATAGATTAAAGCCTAAAAAGAAAGAAAAGAAAGATCCCAGTGCACTGAAGGAAAGAGAAGTGTGAGTATTAAAAAGTTCAAGTTTTCTGTCAGGTGTGGTGGTGCACGCCTTTAATCCTGAGGAGGCTAGAGGCAGAAGGCTTTTGGGTTTCGTGGGGCAGTAAAATTTGCTTTAAGATACTGGTGATAATAATTGTTTCTTTGCCAAAAATATTTTAAAATAAATAATTGCCATTGTTTGCCACACCTGTGCTTCATAAAAGAGAGACTATCACAAAAAAAATTAATGAGGATATATTTTCAGGATGAAGATCATACTTTAAAATAAGTACTTTTAACTTCATGAAAATCTTACAACATTTTCCTATTTTTGTTTTTAAAGTTGTGGCAAAGCTTTCTAATGGGCAGAAGTTAACATGTTGTTAGTTTCTTGCTTTCTTTTAAAGACTTACTTCCAATTGAACAATGGGAGAAAAGCTATATAGTGAACTGACCCAAGCAATTCTTGTTTTTTGGTTTTATATCAATGTAGATGTTAGCTTGTGATCTTATATTCTTTCTCTTTTCAGCACCCAACATCCTTCCTGCTTGTTCTTCCAGTACAATACACAGCTAGGTCCACCTTACCACATCCTTATTGACACCAACTTCATCAACTTTTCCATTAAAGCCAAACTGGACTTGGTACAGTCAATGATGGACTGTCTGTATGCCAAATGTGAGTATCATACGTTTGTGTTTCTGTGACATTTGTACAAAATAATCTTATTTATCCAAATACATGAAGAAAAGGGAAGTAAGAACCTTATGAATTGGGCTGCTGGCCATTTAATTTTCAATCAGTATAGCAATGACAATTTTCAATAAATTTGGATCTAATGCATGCTCCACTAGGAATAATAGTTTTCATAATTCAGAAAACAGTGCTTTATTATTATAGACATCAGTTTTAAACCTAGAAGGGGACTCTTCTGTTTTAGAATTCAAGATTTAAGTTTTTTTGATTGTGTATGCATGCATGAGTGCGTGCCTATGCAGGTACCCTTTGAGGCTAGAAGAGAGCCTCAGATCCTCTGGACTGGAGTTACAGGCACTTTTGAGCCATCTAACATGGGTACTGGGAAATGGACTTGGGTCCTCCAGAAGAACAGTATGCTGTTTTAACTGCTGAGCTGAGCCATCTCCCAAATGATACTTTTTTTTTTGAGACTAGATTTCACCATGTAACCCTAGCTGGCCTGGAACTGGTTATGTAGACCAGGCTGGACTTGATCTCAGATCCACCTTCCTCTGCCTCCTGACTACTCGTATTAAAGGTGTGGGCCTCCTGGTATATACTTTTATGACCAATAAGATATATTCTTCATTCCACTTCACTATGGAAAAGCTAAATGAGACATTTTGCAATTTAAGATCAAAACAAACAAATCTCAAAGGCTGAGAGGGCCAAAAAGTTAGGCTTCTTATGCCACATAATCAAGTTCTTCATACAAAGGACAAGTTCTTGCCAGGTGCATGCCTTTAATCCCAGCACTTGGGAGGCAGAGGCAGGCGGATCTCTCTGAGATCAAGCCCAGCCTGATCTATATAGCAAGTTCCTGGCTGGCTGGGGCTACAGGGAGATCCTGTCTCAAAAAGATCAAAAAACAAGACCAACAACAAAAAAGAACAAATTCTTGAAGAAAATTAGAATTACTACAGTGAACACATGAATGATAAGAAAGCAAAATAGCATTATTGCTGATAAGGAGAAAGTTTTAGTCGTAGAAAGAGAAAAAAAAGCCTGCCAAATATTCCCTTAAGACAGAGTTTAATATAGAATAAGGCCTTGGGCTGGAGAGAGGGCTCAGTGGTTAAAAGCACTGACTACTCTTGCAGAGGACCCGGGTTCAATTCCCAGCACCCACATGGTGGCTATGAAGCATCCTTAACTCCAGTTCCAGGGGAAACCAAAGCCCTCTTCTGACCTCTGTGGCATTGCACGACACAGGTGCACTCACATGCAGGCAATACACTCATACACATAAAAAAGAAAAAGAAAAAAAAGAATAAGGCCTTAACTCCTCAATTCTGTGAATATGGTGAGAGGTGCCAAAACTGCAAAAGAGATTGAATCGTGAGGCTGAAAGAAAAGATGCCTTCTCAATAACAGGAAAGTGCAAGGTTAAGCAGCAAGTGCTTTAAAAAAAGTTTAGGCCAAAAAGCAGAAAAGGACTGGGGACTGGGAATTGAGCTCAGGGGAGAGCGCTTGCCTAGAGTGTGGTAAACTCTGGCTTTGATATCAAGCACTGCCTCCCAAAATACCTAGGCCTCTTAAGAATTACACTAAACATGCTCTGCCTGTGTTTTATAAATGAAATAATAAAACCCAGGTGACAGCACATCTGTTTTAAATATGGTTGCTGAGTATTTTCAGTCTATTGGTTAGTTGCACTGCTCAGCAAGATTTGTTTCAAAATAAAACTCGTCAAATGTACACCATGACACTTGGACTCTGATGGAGATGTATGATGTTGTACATCTCTGATGTACAATGAGATTAATGTTTTCATATCTGCTAATATAACATTCATTTAGCTGCCCATGAATGGAGTCATTTCGATTTTCAAGATTTTGGCAGGGCAAGGGGAAGGTGGCAGGGGGTCAGACTCTGATACAACTCTGGCTGACCTGAAACTAACTGTGTAGCCGAGGATGACCTTATTAAACTTGTGATCCTCCTGCCCCTATCTTCCCAAGTGCTGAAATTAAAGGCATTTGCCACCACACCAGGTTTATACAGTAATGTGGATCAAACCCAGAGCTTCATCCATGCTGGGTAAATACCGACTGGACTACATCCCAGCCACCTTTGAAGTCTGTTATTTAATGTATGTATTTCATAAGGCCAGGCCTGTCATAGATAGTCATTTATCTGATGGATCTGTACAACGTAACTTGAAATCTTTTATTTGAATATTACAATGTATATATTTATAGAAACATTACATTATACCCCATAAATATGTACTATTTTTATAAGTCAATTTAAAAACTTTAGCCAGGCATAGTGGCACATGCTTGTATAGTCTCAGCACTGGGGAGGCACAGGCAGGCGGATCTCTATGAGTTCAAGGCCAGCCTGGTCTATATAGTAAGTTCCAGGCTAGCTGGAGCTACAGAGAGACCCTGTTTCAAAAAGACCAAAAAAAAACTTTCTTTGGCCAGGCATGGTGGTGCATGCTTTTAATCCCAGCACTTGAGAGGCAGAGGCAGGTGGATCTCTGAGTTCAAGGCCAGTCTGGTCTACATAGTTAGTTCCAGGCCAGCTGGGGCTACAGGGAGACCCTGTCTCAAAAAGACCAAAAAAAAATTTTTAAACTTTGGTGCTGGGAACAAAACCTAGTACCTTCCATTTGCTAGGTCAAATACATGACCACTGAGCTAAAACACCCAATCACTACTTATTTGTTGGTTTATTTGTTTGTGTCTATGTGTATGTGCGTCAGGGCCTGTGGGTAGAAGACAGAGGATGATTTATGGGAATCAGTTCTCCTACTATTTGGGTCCTGGGAATCAAACTCATCCACTTTAATTCTTTCTCCCTTCCTGATTGGTTGTTTGTGCGACATGGTTTTACTAAAGTCTTGCTGGCCTTGAACTCAATCTGGCTGTCTCAGTCTCCACAGTGCTGGGATTGTAGGTATGTGCCACCACCCCTAGCTCCAAGAAGAAATCCTAAGGCTCTTAGTTATCACACCCTGAAATGCTCTTTCTTTTCTCCATCTCCACCCCAAGTGACATTAATCTACTGTGTAGATTTGCCTATTCTGGACATAAAAATAGAATTATAGTTTTCTTTCATTCAGCACAGTATTTTCAAGGGCCATTAATAATGTATATATTATTTTATTTCTTATTATCTTCTACTGTGTGCAGATATCACATTTTTGTTATCTGTTCTTTTTTACATTTAATAATATATTTTGAAATTTTTCGATGTCAGTATATGTAGATGAATCTCGTTTTTTAAGTTATATAGTATTTTATTATTTAAACATAATTTTGTTTGGTGTTTTGTTTTGTTTTGTTTTGAGTGGCGGATTGTTGTTTTCAGACAGGATCTAATGTAGCCCAGGCTGACCTGGAACTCTCTATGTAGCTAAGGATGACCTTGAACTACTGATCTTCCTGCCTGTAACTCCGAAGTACTCAGATTACAGTTATATGTCACTCCCACTCCCATCCCAGCTGGGATTGAGCCCAGGCCCTCAAGAATGCTATGCAAGTGTTCTACCACTGAGCTACATCCCCAGCCCACTTTTACTTTCTTTGGGAGGGGGCTCCTTTTTTTGGAGACAGAGTCTCCCTGTAGCCACAGCTGGCCTGGAACTCACTATGTAGACCAGGCTGGCCTTGAACTCTCAGAGACCTACCTGCCTCCGCCTCCCAAGTGCTGGGATTAAAGGCGTGCACGACCGACCATGCCTGGCCCCACTTTTACTTTTTATTTTGAAACAAGGGTCTGTTGTAGTGTAGGCAAGCCTTGAACTTTGAATTCTCCTGCCTCCACCTCTAGAGAAGCTAAGATTATAGGCCTGGGCCTCCAGACCCAGCTCTCTTTAGTTCTTACTGGTCATGTCAGTGGACTTACTCTGCTATCATTGCAGAAGTATCCTGGATCTTTTTTATTTTTATATATTTTATTTATTATTATTTTTATTTTATGTGTACGAGTGTATTGCCTGCATGTATGTGAGTGCACCCATGTCATGCAGTGCCATGGAGGTCAGAAGAGGGCTTCGGATTCCCCTGGAACTGGAGTTAAGGATGGTTCATAGCCGCCATGTGGGTGCTGGGAATCAAACCCGGGTCCTCTGCAAGAGCAGTCAGTGCTTTTAACCTCTGAGCCAACTCTCCAGCCCTTATCCTGGATCTTTTAAGGACTGAACAGGATATAAGGCAGAGGATTTCTTTACAAGTTCTGTCACTAATTATTTTACTGGTTTGGGTTTCTTCCTGGCAGGCATCCCTTGTATAACTGATTGTGTAATGGCTGAAATTGAGAAGTTGGGGCAGAAGTATCGAGTGGCACTAAGGTAGGAAGGACCTAATCTAGACTTCTTCTGTGTTGGCATACTAAAGATACTTTTGGAATGTCTTGTCTCTAGCCATTTAGTTTAAATTTTTACAAAATCAACAAAAAACTATGTGATTTTAAGAGCAAATACTAGCCAGGTTTGGTGGCACATTTCTGTAATCCCAGCACCTGGGAGGTGGAGGCAGGAGAAGCAGGAGATCAAGGTCATCCTCAGTACATAGCAAGTTGTATGAGGCCAGCCTGAGGTACATATGACTCTGTTTCAACCTCCCCCACAAAAAATTTTAAAAAATAAGAGATGGCTCAGCAGTTAAGAATACTGCCTGTTCTTGCAGAAGCCCCAGGTTGGAATCTCAGCACCCACATGGCAGCTAACATCTGTCCATAATTCCAGTTCCAGAGGATTTGACAGCCTCTTCTGTCCTCCGCGGGCATTGCATGACATGGGTACACTTACCTACATGCAGGCAATACACACATACACATAAAAAATAAAAATAATAAGATATTTTAAAAAGAAAAGTGGTCAGGCATGGTGGCACATGCCTTTAATCCCAGCACTCAGAAAGCAGAGGCAGGCTGATCTCTGAGTTCAAGGCCAGCTGTGACTACAGGGAGACCCTGTCTCAAAAAAGACCAAAAAAAAAAAGCAAATATTTGAAGTTTAAATATTTTAAGCTGGGATTCTTTGATCTAATTTACTTATCCATATGGGTCTTCTGGGCTTCCTTTTAATGTCCCCTAGAGTTTTATAATAAAGTTGTATAATTTATTATTTAGACATCGCCTTAGAATTTCATGCTTAAGAGACTCACATTTCAAAATTTCAGTTTGCTTCAGAAAGTACCCAGAGTGTGTGGCTCCCTATGAGTCCTAGAAACCTTGGCAGGAAGCTCATAAATCTGTTCTCATAATAACACTGAGACGCTGCCTTTGTCATTGTGTTGCTGTTCCTTAGTACAAATCAAAGCAGTGGGCCACCCACTGACAGGCTTTTTGTTGTTTTGGTTTTAATTTTTTACTTATTTTTAGTGTTTGTGGTGTGTGTGTGTGTCTGCGGTGCATGTGCATGATGATGTGGGGAGACATGCATGCCATGGTATACATGTGGAGGTTAAAAGACAACTGGAGTTTTTTTCTCTCCTACTTTTACATGGGTTCTGGGGATGTGGGGTTAGAACTCAGGTCGCTAGGCTTGCTCAGCAAGAACCTTTACTAACCATGACATCATCTCACTAGCCCTCAGCACTTCTGTTTTTGGAGCCAAGGTCTTACTATGAAGCCCTGGCTGGCCTGAAATTTACTCTGTAGACCAGTTTGGCCTCAAACTCAAGAGATTTGCCTACCTCTGCCTCCCCAGTGCTGGGTCTAAAGGTGTGTGCCACCACACTCGGCCCTCAGCCCTTACTTTCAGTTTAGGGGCTGGAAAGATGATTCAGTGGTTAAGAGCACTGGCTGCTCTTGCAGAAGATCTGGGTTCGATTCCCAGCACCCACTTGGTGGCTAACGACTGTCCATAACTCCAGTTCCAGGGTATCCGACATCCTCTTCTGACCTCCATGGGCATTGCATGACACAGGTGCACTTACATGCATGCAAGCAATACAATCATACATGTAAAAATAATAAATTTTTTTAAAAGTTCAATTTATTCAGATTTGCTGAGAAATTCTCACATTTTTCTTAGTTCTGTCTCCTTCAGATTCTTTTCTCATTTTTCTTTTTTTTAAAAAAAAAAAACATTTTGCATGTGTGTGAAAGCACATGTGGCTGTCAGAGAATAACCTCTTAATGTCATTCCTCGCCTTCTATGTTGTTTGAGTCAGGGTCTTTTGGTTGTTTTTCTGTCACATCATGCTAGCTGGCCTATGAGCTTCTGGAGAGTCTCCCTTCTCTGCCTCCTATCTTTGCATAGGAACAAACTCAGGTCTTGATGTTTGCCATGCAGCAAGTGCTTTTACCCACTGAACCATCTCCCCAGCCCTCCCTGTCTTTTTCTAAGTACATGACCCATATTGACTTAGTGCCAGTCTGCTGTAATAGGGAATGTTTTGTTACAGTAGGAACCTGTGGGGTTTTGGTTTGGTTTTTTTGGTTTTGGTTTTTTTGGGGTTTTTTTTGGTCTTTTTGAGACAGGGTCTCCCTGTAGCCTCAGCTGGCCTGGAACTCACTATGTAGACCAGACCCACCTCAATTTTACAGTAATCCACCTGCCTCTCCCTCCAAAGTGCTGGGATTAAAGGCGTGCACCACCATGCCCAGTGGAACCTGTGTGCTACCTTGTGCTTTGTTTCCATGACTCACTTATCGTCACTTTAATAAAAAGAGTGTGGCTGTGAGAATCAGACTTTTTCTTTTTTCAAATTTTTATGAAAATAATGGATTTGGATTTTTTTAAAGAAGTATAAACATATAAATAGTAAAAGTTAAAAGTCCTTCACCACATTCACACTTTGTCTGTTTTCATATACCAAGAATGACAACTAGAAAGGATTAGTATACTTTTACAGATCTTCTGTGAAAATACAAATTCAGAAAGTATGGGAAAAAGGGATCTATATTTTCTTAAGTGAATCATACACCCTCACACATATAGTTAGTTGACCTGTGTTATTATCCAGCAGTTAGGTAAATGTCCTTTCATAGTTGGACATACAGTTTTATCACATTCTTCTTCTTCTTTATTTACTTTTTTTTAAAATTTCATGTGTATGCATGTATTGCCTGCATGTAGGTAAGGGCACTCATGTCGTGCAATGCCCACAGAGGTCAGAGAGGCTGTCAGATCCCCTGGGACTGGAGTTACAGACAGTTGTTAGCTGCCATGTGGGTGCTGGGATTCGAACCTGGTCTTCTGCAAGAACAACCAGTGTTCTTAACTGCTGAGCCATCTCTCCAGCCCCTTTATTTATTATTATTATGTGTATGCATATATTGCCTGCGTGTAGGTAAGTGCGCCTGTGTCATGCAATGCCCGCGAAGGACTGAAGTGCTGTCCGATCCCCTGGAACTGGAGTTACAGACAGTTGTTAGCCGCCATGTGGGTGCTGGGATTCAAACCTGGGTCTTCTGCAGGAACAGTCAGTGTTCTTAACCACTGAGCCATCTCTCTAGCCCCCTATCACATCCTTTTTTTAATCAGACAGGGACACCAAAATGTAGTTAGCTTTTATATACTGTTGATGGATATTTGACTATGTCCAGTTTTTCACTACTGTAAACTGTGCCATACTAGCTCTTCTTGTGCCTCCCTTCCAGTGTATTTGTAGAAGACAACTTCTTAAAAGTGAAATGGTTAAGATTGGTTTGATTTTAAAACCTGGCTTTTTTTAACTGTGTTTAACTTTTTTTTTGGTCTTTTTTGAGACAGGGTCTCTCTGAAGCCCCAGCTGTCCTGGAACTCACTATGTAGACCAGGCTGGCCTTAAACTCACAGAGAGTATCTGCCTGCCTTTGCCTCCTGAGTGTTGGGATTAAAGGCATGCGCCACCACACCCAGCGTGTTTAACTTTTTTTAACTGAGTAGATTTAACTTTTGAACCTGTTTCTTCTTTGTAAAATGGAAGTATGAAAATTCAGAGTTTTATGCTAATGACCCCAAACACTATCAGCTAGTAGATTGATTCTTTTCCTATAAAATTAAATAAGCTTCAGGAGAGGGTACCCAACAATCTCTGCATAGATCGTACTACATTTGCTTCACTGATTGGATGTAGAAAGTTTTCCAATTACTAGAATGTTTTCTTTAATCCATTTTTATTACCCTACAGGATTGCCAAGGATCCACGATTTGACCGACTGCCATGCACACACAAGGGAACCTATGCAGATGACTGCTTGGTACAGAGAGTAACTCAGGTATTATCACTTTTTAAATGTTTTACTTTGTATTATAAGGTGGCCATGGGATTGGAGAGATGGCTCGGTTAAGAGCACTGACTGCTCTTGAAGAAGACCCCAGGTTAAGTTCCCAACACCCACATGGTAGCTAACAACCATCCATAACTCCAGTTCCAGGGATCCAGTGCCCTCTTTTGGCATCTGTAGGCAATGCACGCATAGGCGCACTTGCATGCAGGCAAAAGACTCATATACATAAAATAAAAAATTTTTAAGCTGGGCATGGTAATACACACCTTTAGTCCCAACACTCAGGAGGCAAAGAAGCAGGCGGATCTCTGTGAGATTGGGATCAGCTTGGTCTACATAATGAGTGCCAGGCCAGCTGTGGTTACAGGGAGACTCTGTCTCAAAAAGACCAAAAAACAATTTTTTTTTTAAAAAAAAAAAGGGCAAGCTGAGCATGGTAGCATATGCCTATGATCACTTGGAAAGTGGATGTGGGAAGATCAGGAATTTAGGATCATCTTGTCCTCAGCCACATAATGAGTTTGAGTCTAAGCTAGGCTCAAAGAAACTTTAAAAAAAGCAGACTAGGGGCTGGAGAGATTGCTCAGTGGTTAAGAACACTGGTTGTTCTTACAGAAGACCCAAGTTCAAATCCTGGCACCCACATGGCAGCTAACAACTGCCCATAACTCCAGTTCCAGGGGATCTGACAGCCTCTTCTGTCCTCTGTGGGCATTGCATGACACGGGTGCACTTACCTACATGCAGGCAATACATGATTACACATAAAATAAAAATAATAAATAATTTTTTTTTTTTTTTTAAATGCAGACTAGGGCTGGAAAGATGGCTTGTTGTTGCTGAAGTCCCAGGTTTAGTTCCCAGCACGCATATTGAGTAGCTTATAGCTCCCTGCAACTGCAGTTTCAAGGGATCCAGTGCTATCTTCTGGCTTCTGTAGTCACATACACACATGTAGTATGCATATATGTGCTCAGGCACATACACATATACATAAATAAAAATAAAATTTGGGGTGTTTTTTTTTTTTTTTTTTGGTCTTTTTGAGGCAGGGTCTCTCTGTAGCCCCAGCTGGCATGGAACTTGCTATGTAGACCAAGCTGGCTTTGAACTCACAGAGATCTGCCTGCCTCTGCCTCCTGAGCACTGGGACTAAAGGCATGTGCCACTATGCCCAGCTTAATAAAAATGAATTTTAAGAAAGAACCTTTCGGGGGCTGGTGAGATGGCTCAGCAGTTAAGAACACTGGTTATTCTTGCAGAAGACCTGGGTTTGAATCCCAGCACCCACATGGCAGCTAGCAACTGTCTGTAACTCCAGTCCCAGGGGATCTGACTGCCCCCACCTGCGGGGACCCTGTACAGGTAAAGCTCGAGGGGGACCACTCCCTGAAAGGAAAAACGGGCGAGAAAGAGGAGATGGAGCCCAAGCAAGTCCACTTGTCAAGGGTCGCTTTATTGTATTGCAATCTTTTCTTATATACAGTTTGTATTTAGAAGGGGTTGAAGAAGTTGGTCAAAGGTTACAGCATT